GTTATAACGGCATATAAATCAACTCTTTAAATATATCACGCGCAGGCTACTTGCCGTTACACGATCCAACATTTGTTTTAATATAGATATTTCTATAATTTGACGCGTATTTTGTCTAAGTCACGCATTGGTATTATGTGGCGACATGACCTACATTAACTATATGCGAGTCCAGGGCGATTAAACGATAATCCAAAAAAATTAGTTCTTTCCTTAAGAAGTAAATAAACAAAAAGAAAAAAAAAAAAAAAAAAAAAACAAAATAAATATACTAATTTTCTTATTGAAGCATAATTGACCATACGCAAACTGAATTTCTTATATTACACATTACTTTTTCATATCTCTTAACAAATTATCGCTCAAAATATAAATCTGCCATTTTTTCAGTCCAGCGCAGATACATCCTGTCTCAATGAATAGTTATTACATTTTAAAAGAATTCAATGTAAAAGGACGAATATAACTTTAGAGATAAAGAAATGTCAATGTACTAAATATGTAACAACAAGAAACATACTTGCCTAGTATGTGAACAAAAGGCAGTCTTCCACTAACAAGAATACTCTAGAAGTAAAATCTGTAGCCCATAAATCTAACCTATAATACATGAATTGTCTATCCTATTTGCAACAAAACCTAATGATTGAGGGCACGGTGACACAATCTAGTTCTCCCATCAGTGAACTGGAAACAGTCATGGCTGCGACTTAATATATGTTATAGAATATTCAATTGAACATATTTAGCACAAAACTCAGAACATTAAACTCAATCAGCGCCTAAAGGAATACGAAAACAGAGTCATCGAATTTAAACATAACTATATAAATGGAGACTAAAGTTTGTTATTAAGCCAACCCGTTTTCGCCAAAAAAAAAACTTGAGTGCTCTGCGGATCAAATTTGATCAGCTGGTCAAAAAATATTTTATCAAAAATGTTGTACCGAATTTTGATAAAATCGCGATAATATCTAGGATGGCCATCTAGGGCTTAAAATCGACAAGAAAAAAAAAATTGAGCTGTCAAATTATACAGCTTCTCAAATTAATTCAAAGTTGGTCCGATTTATTTGTGATTTTACTATATAATCTAATATAGGATGGCCATGGGTTAAAAGGAAAGAAAAAAATTGAGCAAATAACTGCTTCTCTTAAATTGAGCAGCGTGGTTCAACAAAAATCGTCAATTCTGCCGGACCAAAATTTATTTGACATATTTCCTGCGATTTTGAATACAAATAGAGTTCACCGATATATTGATGCTTCCCCACCCCATAGTCGGGTTCATTTTATTTGCTCTCAATTTGAACTTTGAATCATTTTTGTAGGTAGCTCTGTTCGTTTTTTAAGTGGACTATCCTACTCTAAGAGCTTGTATTTTATGGAAAATCGATAGACACATCATGTTTTTACTACAATAAGGCGACAGATGCCCATATAGGTATGGATTTCACAGTTATTCTTTCTTAAGAAAAGAATTGAGTTTAAGTCCGTATTGACCACCTACGTAATAAAACATCCGAGACACATTTTTAAAATGGCCCACATCGATCATGAACTAATTCATAAAAGCGTAAATTAAAAATATATTTATTTGAGGACAATAAAAACTTTGGTTAAAAACAATTTTTTTTTTTTTTTTTTTTTTTTTTTTTAAACAAAAGAAAAATAAACTGTAATTCTTTTAAATACTTTTTATTATGTCCATTACACAAAATCCGCCATTTTATACCGGTATTTTAGATAAAAAACTAAAAAAGCTTAAATTGACGACAAGACCCGAATTTGAGTGGTTTTTAGAACATCAGTTTCCATGTAACTCTAAAACATCTGGTACAGATATGTGTATAAACTTACACTTTATCTTGTAATTCCTAGGAATTCTTCATCTGAAAATAACTATACCATGATACATTCTGTATAAACTCTGTCATATTCCCATCCCAACAGGATAATTTCATGGCGTATTAGCTTTCTTTAGAATGATATGAATAACACCAAGACTAATTAGAAGAACAATGCCTTTTTGAATTAGTGTTTAAGAATAATTGAAATATATAAATGTTTACTTAAAAACTTTGTGTCCGAATATTACACGCGGGTACTGAAAATTGCCAAAATGATCTGGCAACATCTAATTAAAGATAACGGCAGACCACTTGAAACATAAAACAAACGAGCACTTTTCTTTTCTCTCGAATGTCATGGACTATCCTAAAATTAACAAAATAGATACGGAAATCAGAACAGTAATTTAGAATTATGATTTGTCGATTTGCAGGATAAACATCAAATAAAAATACTGGGAAAATACTGAAATAGAAGCACCGTAAGACAATTAAGACATGAAGTCAGTGTAAAAGTAAAAGAATTTCGGAAACACAGATGTCAATTAGAGAGGGGAAGTGACAGCCATTGTACTAGAGAACTAACTACACAATATACCTAACATTAACCACACTGTAAAAAAAAATAAAAAAAAAATACAAAAACAATATATCACTTTTGCCCAAGAAAGGAATAAAATAAAGGCTATTTTAAACTTCACACGTTGGATTTGGCGTTTTGGCGTTGGCGCCCGCCGCCCAATCTTAAAATGTATATTAAACCAAAGCATTATAAACACGAGTTTGGCCGTGGGTTTGGCGCCCCGGTTTGCCGTCGGACTGTGAAGTATATGTTTAAAACTTTTTAAAAAAAAAAAATTATATATGGCCATGCGGTATCACGCTCGTCGAAGCTCATCTCGGCACTCGTCCAGGTTATGCCTCTGGGCGTTCGTGAGAACAGTCTGCGTAGAACCGTGACGTAGCAATGACGTTACAGCTGACTCGACCAAAGAATAAGATCAATAATAGAGCGCATCACCGGTGTTGTTGGCTTTTCTTGTTTACATCTAGTTTGTGAAGTATGCGTAATACTTCCAATTATGGTCACTTGCTTGGCCTGCACTCTGCATTGTCATATCCTTTCTCTCTCTTATGAATTTTGCCTTTTTTATAAAAACAATATTCTTCTTCCTCAGAACATCTTATCCCAATAAACCCTAATAGGTAATTATCAAGACATATTACTGTTTCCAAATCCATAATTTGAAAGAAATATTTAAAAATTGAAGAAATAATATTTTTAAAAAAAAAAAAAAAAAAAAAAAAAAAAAAAAAGCAAATACATTTTTGCCTTATATTAACTTAAAAAACAATCAAATAAAAAATAAAAAAAAAAAAAAAAAAAAAAAAAAACTTTTTAAAATGATTTTTTTTTTTTTTTTTTTATAAATATAATAAATATGAATTTATAGTCAAAAATACAACACCGTTAAAAAAGCTAAAATTTTTGGTGGGGCAAAGTGGAGTGGCACTAATTCCACTTTGCCCCATTGAAATTTAGTAAAAAACATTTATTTAAGAAAAAACTTTTTTTTTTTTTTTATTATTTTTTTAAGAATCTTTTTTTCCCTGTAGTTAAACATAATGTCTTACTCGGCGACCTCCTAGTAACCTTTTGTCTGCTACTCTTAAGTAAACAGTAAACAAAAATGTAAGGTTAGATCTGCCCAAAACGGCCAAAGCCAACTGTCAACCGTCGAGGTTTTAATAATGCGGATTTTTGTGCGGCGGCTAATCGGGAAAACAGTACGACAGAAATAGAAACAGGACAAAAATCCAACGCCAACGAACAAAAAGTTTGTCAGCACAATAAGCATCACAAGAGCGCCAGACCAAAAAATTCCAAAAGCCTAGGCCTTATAGTCGGAGCCGCACGCAATTCGGCACAAAATATATTCGTGCGTAATTAATAAACGAATTACGGTAGCGATATTGACCAAGCTGGTTCTCCATAATGTCGCGATGATTAAAATGTTACGTCTATCTCCCATTGGCGTGTATTGTTCTATAAAGACTCGTCATGGTAGTACTTCAATACATCAATACATATAACTCAAAACTATTGTACCTTGTAAATAACTAGAAAATTAAATAACTTCGAAAGAAATAAATAATTCTTAATAAGTTAAGCTTAATAAAACCATTAAGAAAAAATCCGTAAATGATAATTTTTAATTCTAATGTAAATATATAAATAAATGTTATCATTATTACAATTTTATTAATTCATAATACTTTCATTTCACAATCTTTATTATCCTTCTTACCTTAATTTTGAATATCAAGATAAATCTGAAATTATAAAATTAATTATAGAATTTGTATTAGGTATTAACACTGAAAAAAAAATTTTCAACTGCAAATAATTCGAAAATAAACTGCAATTTGGCAACATCGACGATGTGCGCTTGCGTAGTATCGACGATCAAATGCAGCAAATATGGGCGTCAAGGTCAGCCACCGGATCCACACCTTTACCAAGACATAATTATCGAAAACTATCGATGGTTAGAAATATAATATCGATAGTTTTCGATAGTAACTATCGATAAACATCGATAGGCTATCGATAGTTCTCGACCACTAATGCAAAGTCTCTAAAGTAGTCTCCATATCTCTGGTACTAATGGTATTAACACATTTGTATCTGTTCTGTGGTACTAACTCATGAGCTACAAACGTGCTACAAACCCAAACTGCAAACAGAGCTACAAGTGAACTACCCATTGAACTACTCAAACTACTGACTTTTTAGGCATAGATAAATGCAACAAGTTTAGATTGGAAAGCCTGTAAAAATTTTAGGTCGCGAAATTATTTTGGGTCGCGACCGTTATACGCGATCTCGCGCTGCTATAGCGGTCGCTAAGAACAACGGCAAACAAAAACAGAAATAATTTTCTCTTGTCAAAGTCAGAATCTTCAAAAATCATAATAATCTTTCAAAATATAAACCGCTCTCATTAAAGAAATTCCGAAAAGTGTTTATAGCGTCCATTCTCAAAGTAATTATTGCTATTTTGTGAGTTTAATTCAAGTTTTATTTACTCCAACCGGTGATAATTGTGAAAAAGTGGCATTAAAAACTTAAAAAGCTGTGCTGAGAACTGTGAACTGCAAAAACCATCGTGTTGGGAGTGCTACAATGTTATATTAAAAGGATTAACAAGTGAATTAATAGAGTTAGGTGCTAAACCAGAATTAAAAGTTGTCATGAAGTGTTTGTGGATGAAGTACCTTCACAAAAGTGAGGTGTTTGATATCAAAAGTAATAGGACACCCAAACTTTCTATAATAGGTATATTTGAAATATTTTTATAATTTTTACATAATCTAAATAATACATAATATATAGGTTCAAAGAAAGATATTGCTATTTTATACAATGTAAAGAAACGAAGAAGACGGAGAAGTACAGCTTCATCAATTTCAACGACTCTAAGTATTACTAGACAGAGATCCAAGAAAAAAAGAGAATTTGTACAAAGTCAGTATGAAGAACTAACTTTGTCACAATCTTTGAGTCAGGTAAAAAGATTGTAGAACTTATTATAAATAACTTTTATTAATTATTATTTGTGATATTGCAGAGTACATCATTGCTTGGCGAGACATTATCAAGTTTAAAAAGTGACTCTGAAAAATCTGAGCACAGTGCAAAGATTGAATATAACAAGTAACTTTATCACAATCTTTTTAAAATAAAAAGTTTAAAATATTTTTTTAGATATAGTAAAGCAGAATTGAAAAATATTATGTCCAAAGCACACTTGAAGAAGCACAAATTTGATATTTCTGGTGATATGACTTGTCACAAATTTCTTACAAAGGATTTTAAGGGCAAATTTACCAACAATCCATCAGTTCTCACTGTTCAAACCCTTTATTGCCTGCTGTATATTGGATTACTTATAATTCAAGACTCCACTCAGTTAAGTGATTTATTTAGATTTATACGCGAAGGACATTTATCTTATGGCAGTTTCAGACACTATTTTGATGAAGAAGCTAAAGATGAGACTCTAAATCTGCCTCTGCCTCAACAAATTTTCTTTGCAAACCTCCCATTTAGGAAAAAATCAGCTAAATTAGCTCAGTTTTTAGATGTGGCGCAGTACATTAAAAAACCAGATTTAATCAAACTGTGTCAACAGTTTTGTAAGGAGATGAATCTCCCTGAAGAAGTCACACATTGTGTGGAAAAAATAATTAAATATAGCAAGCCTCAGATGATTTTTAAAAATAATTCTCCAGAAATACCAAATTATGAAGGCAGAGTAATGTGCTGTATTATATATGTTCTTAAACTTATTTTTGGACTTGATGGTGTAACAGAAAAACGTTTTTCTACCTATGCAAATCTTTTAAATTCACAAAATTTAAACATAAAAATGTTTGTGTTTGGTGACTGGCTTGAATACTTGAGATACAGGAAAGTAGTTATCAAAAAATATAATATGGTAGCAAATTTGATGGATAATGACAACATTGTTGGAGAGGACTATATAAAATACTTTCTTAATCAAAATATCCAATCAAAATTTAAACCTAGTAAAATTAAATTACAAAAGGAAGCTAATGATTACATGCAGATATTATCAATGTTTGCTGATAGTTGTTCAGTTTCAAATGATAGGAAATTTGAAGCAAGTTTAACTCCATTTTTAGATTATTCACAACACCTATATAAAGAAGAACAAATTCCTTTTAGGAATATACTAAACACCTCTTTTTTTAATGATTCTTTATCATTTTTATTAAAACCTAATAAATATCTTAGAGCTTTAAATACAAAACTAGTTAAAAATTGTGGAGGTAATGATAAAATAATCACTGAAGATCCTCTATGTTTTCAAGAAAAAACAAGGACTTTTTGGAGTAGAAGGAAAAAAAATATTACTGTCCGATTATGTGATAGTATTTCTGAAGAACAAGATGTCTCAGAATACTTAAAGTCTTTTAAAAAAGAATCCATGTGTGCCACCAAAGTTGATATTTTATTAGATAACTACCAAAAGAGTAATAAAAAAGTATTCAAACATAATAAAGGTACTCTAGAAATAATCTCAGAAGACATTGAGTTCAATTTTCCAAATTTTGAAACTTCAGGGTTGTATCCTGAACATTTTAATCCTTTTGAACGTTACTGGTTAAATATATCTACCAGTCCTACATATGCATACCTTTCCAGGTCTGAAATGCATGATATTTTAAATAAGCTGCCCTTTTCTTTAAGAGTAATCATGAAAGAGTGTTCTAGAATTACTGAACAAAATTTAAGAAATCTTTATAATGAGTTTGAGCTCACAGAACTGTGCTTGGTTTATCGCTGTTATATTAACATTAATAAAAAAAAACACAATCCTGACGTTACTGTATATTCGAATATCTTAAAAAGTTGTATACGAAGATGGTAATAAAATATTTAAAAAAAATTGTTCCTTTTATTTTCCCGCTTTCAACAGTTTAAATTTGGTTTAAATCATAAGCACGGTCATAAGCATGTCATAAGTATGGAGTGTAGAGGTCATAAGAGTGCATCCATACCAAGAACAGTTAACCTAATAGGACTGCTCATTCAGCCAAAAGTGTCCGCCAGGTGCATGCGAAAACTACTCGCTTTGTGACGTCATTGTAGCCCTTGTCATGGGTATTAGTCCTTATCCGGCAACCAATAATACACACACGTGCATTATTGATTACCGAATGCAAAACGTTCATTATTTAGTTTATTTATTTAAACACCTTATATGTATGCAGTAAAGAAAATTAACTGTATAAATCGTATTAAATACTCGGATAATGCATTTTTAAGAACAGCAGGTCCCAGCAACACCTTTTGCAAGCATTCTTTTTAGAGTACTTCCATATTTTGCTTTAAAATAATTAATAAACAAAATCGTGGACACTTAGTATACACTTTGTCACAATCCACAACACAAAATGAACGTATTTATACACTCTATAGCTCTAAAAACTTTAAAGACACCTTTTTCACATTTAAAATTGACAAAATAATTAACTCAAAATTTCTCAGCTGTTATTTTTATAAGTTTACCATAGGCAACTAATAATACACACTATCATGACAAGGCCACGAAGGCTTTGACAAGGGCTACAATGACGTCACAACTGTCAGCTGAAGCGCGGGAAGAGGCGAACGTACGTCTCAAGCCCCGTTCTCAGAACTGCGACTGTCGCCAGCGACACGACAAAAGAACCAATCAGATTTGTACAAAATTCAAAGAGCTGTCAATTTTAAATTTAGTATAGCTCCCATTGGTTGTTTGAAATGTCAAACTGTGTCGCCCGCGACACGACGACGTTCTGAGAACGAGGCTTTATGAGGATGAGTATGGAGGCTAGAAGGCTTCTAGCCTCCATAAGGATGAGCAATCCTATTAGCACGCTATTAGTTTACCGTTCTTGGGTTTAAACTCTCTGTTCCCTTTCTGATCCTCAAAACCTACAATATTATCACGAACACTGTTATAAAATAAATTGCACTTGATATTCATATTATATCATCAATACATAGAACACAATATCGATTAAGTTCATCCGGTTCATCGAAACTTTCAACTTTTCTTTTTCAGAGTCTCAAATACACTAAGATTTTCTAAGCCAGGTTTGATATCAATGTCATATATTCATTACCTTAGTGTCTCTGGGTCTCTGGACGTGGAAGGCAAAATAGATTTCAAGAGCGTCTTGTATATTTTAGGCCCGGAAAAGTCTATAGCCAAACATTTATATTTAAATTCATCAGTTACTTTTCTTCCTTTAGCTGATTTGTTAATTTGTGCAATTTGAATATTAACAAAATTTGCTATGTCCATTGATGGACATAATTTGTACGTAGCCTCTTTAGATTGTTCAATAGATATTTTATTGGGTATTTCTTTAATTCTTGTTTGTAACTCCTGGCATGTTTTTTAAATTTTAATTGTCTGTTCTCTACAGTTAAATGTTTAATTGATTTTTTCATTTTTACTTTTCGAGGAGTATGTGCGGTTAACGATTCATTTGTTTAGATAAAAGTATTGAGTAAATAAAATTCAGTTTCAGTCAATTACAGTATTTTTTAATACGACCCTGTTTAATCAATAGTTTATTTTCTGGGAAATTTTTTAATACGTTTTAATCCGGCCCTGACTCGGCACCCATAATGGTGATTTGAAGGTCAAATTTTATAGAAATTTTAAACAATGGGATCTGGGCAGAGTTACCCTGCCGTGTGATTTATATGCCGTGCCATTACCCCTAATAATTGCCTAGTAAGGTATGTTAACAGCGGCGTAGCTAGAAATAGCGGCGCCGGGGGGCAAAACTATCGGCTGGCGCCTAAAATACACCCATATTGACATATTTTTCTGGTATCTAAACTAATAGAAAAATATAACAAAATACTTACTTATACGAATACTTAACGTACACTTTTATTTTTTTTTTATAGCAAAATAAAATATATAACTGGGTAACAAAATTAAATTTAATGCTATAAACGTAAACTGAAATTCTATAAAATTCATAAAACATTAGAAATTTTTTCTCCTATTTTTAATGGAAGCAAACTGATCGATTATATGGTCAAAATTATTTTTTTGGGAAAATTCGTTTTCTATACTTAATATTGCTAGACTATTTAACCTTGTCTGACTCATGGTTAAATAGTTTTTTATAAGCTTGAGCTTTGACAATGTTCTCTCAGCAGATGCTGATGTCACAGGAAGTGTTAAAAATAATAAGAGAACAGTGCACACATCGGGAAAATTTGATACAGTGGTTTGATGTTTACAAAAGAAATAAATCAATCACTTCTGTAATAGTACTTATGTTCTTTAAAATCGCTCTAAATTCAGAGTGGAAATTTAGTATTTCCCCTGCAAATTTTGCTGTTAAATCGTCAGCGTATTTTTCTTGCAGTATCTTAGCTTGCTTGTGAAGTTCACCGTGACTTAGGGATACTAAATGGGAAGGTTAAAAAAAATTAGACACGATATTTTGAAAATTTAGCAGTCTATTTTTTAATTGGAAAGAGGCTAAGAGGCTAAAGAGACTAAAATACTGTTAAACGTATTTTTTTTTAAATTTTTCTTCTTCTGATAATTTTGTTATTTCATCGAAATATTTTTTTTGTAACTTTAATTCTTTTTTCTACGAAAGTTGTTTGGACTCCCCAAGTTTTTGACAGCTCTAAAGCCTCTGATTTAATTTCATCATAAATCATAACTGTTACGAAGCTGGCAAAACTGTAGATAAGCATGACTATAAAGTAGATGCCTCGGCAATATTCGTTATTTTGCTTTGAAGTACTTTAGATATATGGTTTAAGCAATTAAGTATCTTGGAAAATAAAACTAATAAAATTAAAAATTTAAAGTTATCCAATTTTTTCTTCGGTCCAGTTTGCAAAAATATCTACTTTGATTTATAATACATGCACCGCTGGCGCAGGGGTATAATTTATTTATTCAAGATAAACTATATAGTAGGGTAATCATTTTAATACAAAGGTTTTTTAGTAATTCTTGATTATCTAAGGATTGTATTATCTGAGGATTGTACAAACCAAACTTATTTTTTTTAAAGTTAATTATGTAATCGGGAGATTAATATATTTAACTGAAATTGATATTTAAAATATAATTCTAACTATCTTGACAAACAACGTCTTCTCTCGGCCGAAAATCAACACTCTCTGTGAACAAACACACTGAACTGTTTCCAAAGCCTACTACCATCCTACTACTCCGCTACTCCCAAACATCAGCCGTCGCGGGGTGGAGGCACGGCGTGAAAATGACCGCCTATCATAAAGATCATAGGCGTCGATAACAATTAGCAAAAGCATAATGTCGAAGAAAAGAAACAGAAACAAAACGGCGCCTATTCTTCTTTGGCGCCGTGGGGCCCCCCCCGAGCCCACCCGGTAGCTACGCCACTGTACGTTAAGAACGCCACTGAACGTTATGTATTTTATTGTTTACTTTATTTTTTTAACGTTTAAGTTCTGGCTCCTTTTTATCACTGCGGCTTTTAGATTAAAGTTGAACAATCACCATTGTAATATAGTTTATACAAAGTTCACTACGATACACATAACAATTAAAAATCGCTAAAATTGTCGCTAATGACCAGCTGACATTCTTTACTTCCAAAAAAATGGCGTCTAACATCACTAAAGCCCCGTTCTCAGAACTGCGACTGTCGCCAGCGACACGACAAAAGAACCAATCAGATTTGTACAAAATTCAAACAGCTGTCAATTTTAAATTTAGTACAGCTCCCATTGGTCGTTCGAAGTGTCAATCAGTGTCGCTGTCGACACGACGCAGTTCTGAGAACGGGGCTTAAAGCCCCGTTCTCAGAACAACGTCGTGTCGCGGGCGACACAGTTTGACATTTCAAACAACCAATGGGAGCTGTACTAAATTTAAAATTGACAGCTGTTTGAATTTTGTACAAATCTTATTGGTTCTTTTGTCGTGTCGCGGGCGACACAGATTGACATTTCAATCAACCAATAGGAGCTGTACTAAATTTAAAATTGACAGCTGTTTGAATTTTGTACAAATCTGATTGGTTCTCTTGACGTGTCGCTGGCGACACTCGCTGTTCTGAGAACGAGGCTTAAATTCTGCTGCAGCCCGTATATGGGCGTTACGTGTCCTTGTATTCTTTACCCATACGACCCCTACCAACCTTTGAATAAGATACCAACATACCAACAAATACCAAAACACAATATGTCATCTCTGATATTAGTGATATTTGATAACATTTTTAAAGAATTTGTGAATTTAATTCTATGTAGTTCAAAAACAAATTAAATCGATATCATTATGGCCTCAAGGAGCTTAACAGATGTGTTTCTCTTAATGAGAAACAATGCCATTCGAAGCAGGCAAATATATCCTGAACAAGTAAGGTTCTATATTCTATTTTATATTAATCTCCCCAGTTTGTATATTTATATTTCTATGCAGGATTCGTCGGAAAGAATGCATTTAGTGTCTTTGAACGACATGGAAGAAGGATATGCAGATAGAAATGATAACAGAATGCCTCCACCTTGGATAGATTACCTGGAAAAGGCTCAAATGATTTTACCTAGACTTAGGACAAAAATTAATGATCTTAGATCTCTGCATTCCCGGTAAATCCCCTAAAAGTAGAGTCTGTTTAATACGTTTTAGCTTTCTAGACATTTACACCGGTCAACATTTGATGATACGCCTGAAGATGAAATTGCTATTGAAAATTGTACTCAAGAAATCTCTAGGATGTTCAATGAGATACATAGACTATTACAAATAATAAAAAGCCATTCAACAGAAAATGGACTAAAGGAACAGAGACTTACGATTAATGTTTATAGGTCGTTAGCCAATGTTTTACAAGACCTTTCGTTCAGTTTCAGGTAATATATATTTTTTTAATGTTCAAGACAAATTAAAGAAATATTCTAATTGTATTAGATCAACTCAAAACAGTTATTTAAAACAAATACAATCTAGAGAAGATAGGTCAAAAGTATATTTTGATCAGACAGTAGAAATAGATTTATTAAATAATGAATCTGAGGAGATAGACAACTATTTTGTTAATTCCCAAAGAATGTCTCAACAGCAATTGTTGATGCTTGAGGAAGAAAACACAAGGTATGCCCAGGAGAGAGAGAAAGAGGTTAATGCAATTGTTAAATCTATTGTGGATTTAAATGAAATATTTAAAGACTTGTCTCATATGGTCGCAGAACAGGGTACTGTCTTAGATAGAATAGATTATAATATTGAACAAACATCAGTACAAGTGTATGAAGGGTTTAAGCAGTTACAAAAAGCAGATGCCTACCAAAGAAAAAACAGAAAAATGTGTGCTATAATAATATTAGCTTCCGTGACAATAGTACTATTTTTTATATTAATTATTGTTAAGTCTTAGTTTTGTATATTGTTAACTGTGATTTGTTCTATTTATTTAACATTCCTGTATATATTTTGTTATTTTAAGTATAATTCTGAAAAAAAAACTTATAGAAGAGAAAAACTACCATACAACTATTGACTTGTTTTAGATTAAGTATATATACGAGATAAATCATTATCACTTATAAACATTTTCCCCTATACAATTTTTTATAGATAATATTTGATCTACCTTGGGTAGACGTATACAGATGTACATAAATATAAATAAAAAACCAGAATCAATTTCAAAACTTTTATTTCCTTCAGAGATATTAAAAAAAGTGTAAAATAAAGGAAATTGTAAACAAAAATCAATTTTCAAATATCAGAAATTAGCTAATCAATAAAATATAATTTAGGTAAAAAAAATAATATCAAGTCAGTCATTATTTTAAGCTCTTCTAAACTAAAATTCTGTTTAAATCCAAACATCACAATGAACCACATTAAAAATTAAATTACTTTATTAGAAAATATGTGAATATTGTAAAATTTATCAACCTTCTTTGTACATTTCCATAACATGTTTCTTGTAGTCTTCCTTCTTTTCCCATGTTTCTGCAGCTAATGCATTTAGTGGACTAGCAATATTTGGCTCCCCTACAATAAAAATAAAGCTATACATGGTATATAACAGATTACACTAACTTCAGGGAAAAACTGTACTTACTGAAACATTGGGCAATTCTACAAAAGTAATGTAATTGCACTCAAGATGCATATCTTGTAAATTAAAATTATGCAAATCTAAAATGTTCTTACCTAGAAGAGCCTGTATTGATAACAAAATAGTTCTAACATCGTACAAAGCTGACCATTTGTCCTTAAGTATGTCTAAACATATATTTCCATTGGTGTCTACATTTGGATGGAAGCATGGTGTTATAAATTTAACTAAAGGGGCAGAGTAGGGATAAGAATTGGGAAACAGAAAATTAAGCTTAAATTTTAAGGACTCATACACTGAATCCTTCGGACCTGATATAGTGCCTATCCAACGAAAAAGATTTTCACCTTCTGGAAAGGCAGATATACTTTTGTCTGTAGACATCATGAGGGTCATTAATTCTTTATGTAATCTATAAACAAATAATCAGTTCAAAAGTAACAAGATTATAAAAAAATAATACCTTCTAGTAACTGCATGGCTGTCGCCTTGTGTCCTTTTTGAAGTGTCATTTTCTTTAACTGTTCCAGACGATTGTTGTTCCAAAAAAGGATTTACGTTTTGTGCCATATTTCTGTGGTATTTTTTAAACGGGTAGGTATATGGTAGGTATGGTATTTCTTCAAATTGATCGAAAATAAAAAGTTCGTTACTAAATGTAAATGTCAGGGATGACAACTGACATGGAAAAGGAAATTTGATTGGTCCAGTCCAAATAATATATGCAAAATTTCTCCAGTAGAGGGCTAAAACCATAGAATAAATAGAATAATTAACCAAGGGCAAGATGTTTTTATTCAAAACCCGGGGTGCAACCATAGATAAATGAAACAAGTTTAGATTGGAAGGCACGTAAAAATTTTGGCAGAGACAACTACGAGACGATCAAGCGCATATGGGAATTAGGCCCGCCGGATCTCTGGCCAGATCAAACTTTGGAAAATTAGCATCTGTGGCAGAGGGCGCTGTTTCGCAAATTTAAATGACCCGGTACATATTTTACTGCTTTTATTTCCCGCATCCGTTTTAGTCCCCGCTCTCCCGATGGTCCGCGCATACTGAGACGCCGCGGCAGCCATTCTCTCATATTCTCATATCAAATATCGATTTGTCGATTTGATTTTTCGCTTACGAATCTTCAAATTATTTGAGTTGTATTAGCAATATTATGTGTGTTTAAGTGATCACTAATATCCTATATATTGCGCGAATTACCCAGAGGTATCTATTAACCACAATAATTAGTGAATTTCAACGCAATTAGTTAATTTTTATTTGAAGACCAACATGGGAACAAGGCCTATATTTCGCTCAAGAAAAATGTTGTATTGATAGATCTATGGAGGAAATAACAAAGATGAGTCCAGAATTTAGCCAAAATGCATAATTTTCCAAAAATACTGAAAAGTAAGTACATATAAACATATGTTTAGTATTGCAATAAAACTGATAAAATTTTCTTCTCCCGGTGATGGGAGAAGCCATGACAAAAAAGTCAAAGATAATTCTACTACGAAAATACAATATTCTTTGCCTGAGGCTAGCCAGCTTAGCTTGTTTAAAAATGCTATATTAAAAACACATTTGTGAATTTTATTTGTAGATGGACATTTGCTGTTTATAAACTTTCGAGTCAGATATTAACTTTCTTTGAGGATCAGCTATATTTTAATAATTGAGGAGTAAGAAAATTAATAATGTTTTGTATTTGTAGACCAAAAATATGACAAGAATCTTTGAAAATATAACACAATGCCTTTTGTAATTATGTTGTTTTGTGATGATAGTAAAATTTGGTTGATATAAAACTGAAACATAACTATTCCTGCTCTATGAATGACTCTGTGATAACGTTACCCAGGATTTAACTAATTCAGGTGAGCAGTTAAGCCCTAGGCTCTAGTATATATTTTTTCAAGTTATTTAAAATACAGGGTTGTAAATTAGCTTCATATCTTTCTTCATATCTTCTTCTTTTTCAAGTGTTATATAGTTTCACTTCCATGTTTTTATAAAATATGCAGGGAATATTACACTAAATTTTAAAATAATATTTTATATGTCAAATAATACCAATGTTTTTTAAAATATGGCCATTTTTAAAGATTAACTTTTCTATACATTTAAAAATCACAAAATTGTAAATTCACATTTTCTTTTTAATTCAACGTATGTATAAAACTGTCCTCACATTTGATTTATACAAAGGTACTTTAATTTCAAAATATTTATTGATATTTTGCAGCTCCATCAGCACAATAAATCATGTTATGTAATTTTGTAGAGAAAAAATACAGTATTTTATTTTCTAATGGGACTAATAACAAAATTGAACATTGCAGCATAATCAGGTTTCGCTAGACAAGAGAAATATATGACCATGAAAGTGTATAGAAGATAGGCCTGAAAATAATAATATTCACTGTTAAAATAAAATAAAAGTGATTCAAGTTATAAAAGAACTAACCAGTGTAGAAAATTCACTTTCAAAAAGAAAACATAAAAATGGTTGTAAGTAAAGAAGCTTATATTCTATTATTTCTTTATATAAACTATTTTGTTTTATTTATAACATCCTAGTTTAAATAAAATATTTCCTATTACTACTTTGGTAAATAATTTTAAGTAATCGGGTCTAATCAATTTTAAAATAGTTAGAAAATAAATTTGTTATATTCGAACATATATTTTTTTATATTTTATATTTAATTTAATAGGTAATTGTTTATATTAACTTTTACACATGTATTTATAATCTCTTAGTTATAAGTATTTATAAAAAGATCGTGTTGCAGATAGAGGTGATAAGCAATATGTAAAATTTGTAGGTACAGTTAAAGTGGAATGAACTGATATTTTTATAGAAACAGAACAAAACTACTAAAGGGAAACGAGGTGAAGAGCTGTATGACAGATGAATCCGTCACTTGTCTTGTGGAAAACATGCTTTTCTTATGGTTAAGAAGTGGTATATCATCTTCATGTTCTTTCATAATTGAAGCACCATCATTGTGTATCATGTAGAAAAACTGCCGACATTCATAGGTAATCCCAAAGCGTAATATAAAATAATTTACATCCTATATTCCCTATATTTGTAGGAAATGTCAGTCACAAAATCTGAAATATAGGGTAAAGGAGCCTCACTGCAACTTCTGATAAGACTATCAGAGAGGATAATATACAATCAGAGAGGGTAAAACATAAAGAACGGACTATCTGGTAAACTATTTTTTTTTGTCTTCCAATATTGGTTTTCACATATTGGAAAAAATTCATTTATTAATTTACCTTTGTTTTAGTGATTTCAAGATAGTGAAAATTCACACAAGAATATCTATATACTTATTTACCTTATGAGTCTATACCCAACAGAAAAATAAAAGTGCTAGTAGATAGTGGGATAAATTTAAAGGATAATATAATATTAACTCAAAAATTAGGTAAGGAACTAACAGCGCTTTCAGATTAATACCATCGAAGGTGTAATCTTGCTATACAGGGTTATTCACCTCATTCGACACGGAGTATTGTAGCCAAAGATTTTGAATTTTTCCAAATTATAAAAGATTTGGGTTTGTTTAAGGACTATTAGAGCTACAATTTAAACGTACTTTTGTAAGATACAGATTGTTCCGAATAAATAAAAAATACCAATGTTGTATTTTTTTAAATGGAACACTCTCTATATTATGAAATTTTTAGTTTCTCCAATTAAAATAAAGATAACTTTGATTAAGGTTTATCTCACCTAAAAATGCAGTAACAATTTTAATGCTTTATTTCTCTAGGGGTATTTAAGTTTTTAAAACCAAATATTGTACTGAAGTTTTTCTGTTTTCTAAATTTTGTGTTGCAATAATAAAAATAATACTATCTTATACAGAGTGTCTAAAAATTTTATTTTATATTAAAATTTATTTTAAATAATTACTAGCTTTAAACGGCAATAACTTGTTTAATTTAAATGGAACACCCTGTATATTTTACGTGAATCAGATGCACAATTTAATTGTATTATATAACGTTTTACCTATATCTTCAAATTCTCATAGAAAATGCATTTTCTTATAATATTGACATTTTAGACTGTACCGATGCTAAAAACGATAATATTGCTAGCCCATTTGTTTACAAAGAGATAACTATTTAAATCTTTGCAAAAGAGTGTACCATTAATTAAATATACCACCATTATTTCCGCCCAAATATTAATTAATCACATTTAATTGTGTTAGTTAATAAATTATTATAAATAAATGTAGATTTGAATCAGAAATCAATATATTAAAAAGTTATGAATATGAACGTCTCTGTTATTATAAATAAGCATTTATCAAAAAATGACATAAAATTTAGGTGTTACTTTTACCACATTGTCTAATACACATACAAAATTCAGTTTTTTTTAGTACTGGAGCAATTATTAATCAACGCAAATAGTCAATTAATGTATGTAGTTCGAATACTGAGATCATATTAATTAGTCCTCTTTTACATCTACTTAACTAGTGTTTGATATTTTTATTTATTTGGGACACTGTAGTACTTGTTGCAAATAATTATAAATAGTCCTACAACAAATCCAAAACTTACAATTTGTAAAAATCTAATCGTTTGGCTACAGTACATTACTCCGTGTCTAATGAGCTGAATAACCGTGAATTAATTAAACCAACATTTATAAGAACGAACAATAAATTTTATAGAATTAATCTCAAATACTAAAATACCAAATAAATCTATTATATTTAGTATTGTAGAAAATGCTGATGTTCATACAACCATCTGTTCCAACGCACTATGATTCTCTGAAATAATGCTACAATCCAAAATTCGATATTTTTCATTGGACTTAGATTGGATGTAGGACGTAGATTATAATATTTTTTCAAGAAGTACTAATAGAAGTATTTAAGTATAAAAATATCCTTGGTGTAGCATATAAAATATCGGTATTCTTAATAGATGGTTATTTTCTTTTAATATGATATTTAGTCAACATTAACAACTATCAAACTAAAAATTTCAAATTTTCAATGTTTATGTTTGTTTATATATTAAACCAACAGGAATAAATTTTTAATTTGTCATGAAAACAGCTCACATTACAGAACACATTACAGATCAAAACATATCACAATTACATAAAAAAATGACATAACCAGTATTATATTTTCTAGGTGAACTATGTTCTAAAACAAATTGCAGCACCATCAGGGTTAACATAAACATATGTCATCAAACAAATATACACTCTTCAGTTTTTAGAGCAACATGACCAAGAAGCAATTGTAGGATAGTATTGAAAAGGAATATGCACTCCTAAGGAAAATGACATGGGGTAATATATCCCAGTAATTTCAATAAACAACAAATTAATATGCTGAAATAAAACATCTATTAGTTTCAAGTTTCATTGTCTTTATTTAATGTTGATTTTTTGTACAAAATTTCAACATTAAATATAATATTAATTAAAGAAGATATTTTATTTCATAATATGTCTTTGTCTTCCACTTTCAAATAAAAAAATGTATTCCTCATATGGTCTTATACGAGAATTCATATATGGCATACTGCAATTAATTATGTGTAATTTTTATTAGTACAGTCTGACATTCTTCTAGCTCTTCTAGCATATACATACATAAAGAAGAAATACATATTTTGTAACCCTTTTAATTTTCAATTTT